GATGTCAATATTAGAATGCTTGAGGAGTAGGTGTCAATCTGAAGTAACCATTTTATTTAAGATATCAGTGTTCCAAATACCAAAGTTAATATTACAATTACTTCTGTAAAGCAATTAAAACTTATAGAGAACATTCATCAGATTGTATGTTGCAAAATGAATATATGGTCTATTTTAACTATATTTAGTTGTCTTTAGACATCAAAATTGACCCAAAGAAAAACTTTGTCAAGTACATGTACCTTAAATTCTTCATAATGTAGCAACTATTTCTCAGAAGAATCCTAGAAGGATGCTTATATTTTGTAATTTTATACAGATAATGCTGATTGTTTGACTTCGGGCATTGGGCTTACATTTTAATGTGTTTGGATCTGAAAACTCCTAACAGGGTGCTTATATTTTGTAATTTTGTACATGTATATAATGCTGATTTTAAGACTTCAGGATGTACATTTGGTTTACATTTTAATGAGTTTGGTTTTGTTTTTAATCAGAACACCAGAAAAATATAATTTCCTTTTTGGATCAAGTCCATACTGATAGCAGTACTAGTTATATTCAGGCTGATTGCATATGAAAATATATCTCCAATTGGTGTCATTAATAATCAAATATCTATACCTAAAAGAATTTTATACTTTGCTATGGATTTTGTACTACACTGGAACAATATGGTCATGCAGAGCTGTATAGAGTTCTGATGCACATACCTGTGTCACAGGTATTAATAATGTTTATTGAAAGACTCTTTATCAGAGGTAAAGGAATTAACACATAAATATGATTAGTTGAGTATACTAGTATGACAAGCATCTGTAATAAAATTGCAGCCTAAAAATCACAGGTTCAAATTGGCACTGTCAACGTGCCAGATATCTTCATTGCAGCTAAACTGGTTATTGGTAAGTACAAATTTGAATAAACTTGTTACATGTATCAGGTAATGTATCTTTTTCTAGGAATATCATTAAGACCAGTATATATTTTCAAAATATCAATATTATTAGTCCCCTACCGGTGAAACCGGAGGGGACTATAGGTTTCCTCTGAGTCTGTCCGTCCGTCTGTCTGTCCGTCTGTCTGTCTGTCTGTCCCTCTGTCTGTCTGTCAGTCTGTCCCACTTGGTTTTCCGCACTTTTTTCCTAAACGCTTGCAGATATTGAGCTGATTTTTGGTATGTGAGTGTATCTTGATGAGTTACAGATCAAGTTTGCATTTCGTTCCGCTTCATTGATTTTTGACGGAATTACGGGCTTTTCAATTTTTAGGGGTTTTCCGCAATTTTCTTCTAAACGCTTGTAGATATTGGGCTGATTTTTGGTATGTGGCTTTACCTTGATTAGTTATAGATCAAGTTTGCATTACGTCCCGCTTCATTAATTTTTGACGGAATTATGGCATTTTCAATTCTTAACGGGAACAGAGCCAGATTACACTTGCCGGTAGGGGACTAGTATTGCTAATGCAATACTCTCAGAATGCTTGTTATAATTAACAGTTCCACAACCATTGGTAACCATAACTAAGTAGTGTGATGTATTCTAATAATTGTGTAATCTATATTTGGGTTGGGAATCTCCCGAGAAACTTGCATATTTAGGTATCAATAGGAATATAGTGAGATTCAACCTTGAAACTGGAGTTTTTGAAATGTGATTAAGGATTTCAAATAGCTCTGCTTAAAATTGCTAATAAGAGAGTGAATGTGTCACCTTCGGTGACATGAAACTTGGTTCATCAAATAGCAGCATATGCATTGGCTTTCCTAGCAATTTTCATGGATTGAGAATTATGCTATATGTAATGATAATGAATGAAACTCCCCCTATTTGGTTATAAATCTCCGGATATTTGTTTTGATTAGTTACAACCATGTATATAAAACTTGTCTTGGCTAATAGACAATTCAAAACAAAATTAACAAGCAATGGTAAACTTTATGTAAATGCATTGCAAAGTGGCATATACATCTGTGAAGCAGGATATAGTAGGGAAGTTTCTTTCTACAAGACCAAAGCTTTATTAAGCATATAGGGAATAGATTTTCCTGTTATATCCCGGTCATGACAAGAAGCACACGGCGGGTGTGACCGGTCGGCAGAGGATGCTCACTCCTCCATGGCACCTGATCCCACCTCTGTGTTTTAGAGGTCTGTGCACATGTTTGCTCTGCTCCACATATTTCATTGGCAAGTTTTTATTACTTAATTTGTTATAGCACCTTTCTTAATAGAGGAAAATTCAAAATTTATTCCCAGTCTGCTGAAGGATTAACACGTGTGTAAGTACCCAGCGGGAAGGGGGGTCTTGGGCAGTATTGGTCGTGGAACAGTTGACTTGTTTTTGCTTCCCCCAATGTGTGGGGTGACTGCAATCTGTGCCAGCTTGCAGCCATGTGGCGTCTGCGCACATCAAGTCAACTGATAACTGAATATTTGTGTGAAACTTGTACTGAACTGTCACCTTGTTGATATGCTAATGCTAGTGTAAACTAAGCTAATAAGCTTACTCTTGGTGACAGTGATATATACTTTAGAGCTGTAATATATAGTACAACTTTGAAATATGAAAAAGTTTGATATTTGAAGTTTGAGATGTTTGATCTATCAAGTTTGAGATATTTGATATATTATGTACAAGATTTGATATATGAAGTTGATATGCTTGATATTTGAAGTTTGAGATATGACTTTGATTTTGAACAGTTTGTATGTTGATTTTGAACAGTTTGTATGTGTGCTGACCCTCCGCGGTAAACCCGGGACGGTTAGACTTTGAAACACACATGAAGTTTGAATTTGGTGGGATTGCCCAGTTGAAATGGCATCCCACAATGTTTGTATTTTCTTGTGCCACGGCCAATACTCGCCACAATAAATAAGTATAAATTCTTTACTGAGTTTTGTGTCATTTTCTGTGTATAAATAATAGCATATATTTGTGTATACAAAATAGATGCCTTTATTTTACGAGAAAAGTATATTTGCAGGGACCTACATACTAGTATATAGGTCCCTTATACATTGGCTTTTAAGAGTCGGGCTTGGATGACACAGCAAGTATCTATATAACGGGTCGGGTTTGTTCTTCACATTCCTTTCTGCTGAACCTTTCAAAGGTAAAGACGCACAACAAATGCTTGCAAAAAATACATCTAATTTTTGCTTTGTAATTTTAACCCTCCCTCCCACCACCTTTATTAGAATTTTTTGTTTTCTAGTAAGGTAGGATTTTCTGCTGCTTGGTTTTTGCTTTATTTTGCAGTGAAACAGCTGTGATCTTGACGTCCGAGATGAATACCTTGTACCTATACAGAAAACCATCCCGGTACCTTCTAAAGGAAAAGTGAACGTGAAGAATTTGCCGCATCAAGTCCATTGCCAGCTGAAACGTTTGTGCGGAACGTGCATTCAACTATCTCTGTGCAGTATGCTAACGTCAGAACGCAATAGTGTTGCAAACTCGGACCAAATTTACTATCGTTTATAAACTGAATTGGTAGCATACAATCTATTAAAGGATTGATAGTTTGAACTTTAAAGGTAATTGTCGTGGCACTTTCTGAAGGAGAACTCTTTAGAGTGAAGCATCTGCGCACACCAAGTCAACTGATAACTGAATATTTGTGTGAAACTTGTACTGAACTGTCACCTTGTTGATATGCTAATGCTAGTGTAAACTAAGCTAATAAGCTTACTCTTGGTGACAGTGATATATACTTTAGAGCTGTAATATATAGTACAACTTTGAAATATGAAAAAGTTTGATATTTGAAGTTTGAGATGTTTGATCTATCAAGTTTGAGATATTTGATATATTATGTACAAGATTTGATATATGAAGTTGATATGCTTGATATTTGAAGTTTGAGATATGACTTTGATTTTGAACAGTTTGTATGTTGATTTTGAACAGTTTGTATGTGTGCTGACCCTCCGCGGTAAACCCGGGACGGTTAGACTTTGAAACACACATGAAGTTTGAATTTGGTGGGATTGCCCAGTTGAAATGGCATCCCACAATGTTTGTATTTTCTTGTGCCACGGCCAATACTCGCCACAATAAATAAGTATAAATTCTTTACTGAGTTTTGTGTCATTTTCTCTGTATAAATAATGGGAATATCTTTTAAAATCTGCTTAATAACAACAGGCCCATGATTAGTATCTTATAAACAAGCACCTGAGAAGTCATGTATAGTAGATTCCAATTTGTTCGAATCATGAGTTCTGGGGCAGGAATTGGTCCACATAAGATGGTCTTAAGAAAAAAAAAGTCTGCAAACATCACATTTCTCGATGAAAGCAGGGCTTAAATATTAAATGTATTTATATAGAAGCATCTAAAAAAAGGTGTATTTAGCCAGGGCGTTGCCACAATTAACACAGTTTTACATAAGAATATATAAGAAAAATCTTTCATAATCTTAATAAGGCTAACAATTTTACATCAGAGTTTATAGGAAAAATCTTTAATAATTTTTAAGAACAGAAGGACCACAGTAAGTCTGTTTGACATGTATTTGTTAGCATCACAGTTAGTCTGTTTGATATGTATGATAGTCTGTTTGATATGTATATGTAAGCATCACAGTTAGACTGTTTGATATGTATTTGTAAGCATCCTCGTGTAGTGCAGATTAAATTGTTCAATGATAGAGTTCCTAATTATGATTATCCTTATCACAATCAAATATTGTCAAATAGACAAAAAATTCAGAATTATAAAACTCTTCTTACATGTACGTGATACATATACACAAACATTATAAATTGGAGCTAGAGTAAGGACACACAAAGAATTTATATACAACAATACTTTATCATTTAACTTAAAAGTTAAATGCAAGTTTTTGATACCTTGAAGATTTCCATTATAAAATTGTGTTGTGCATGCCCAACACAACAAATTGTGTTAACATCGTTCACAAACCGAAAGTAGAGATTAGCGATACATGTACTTTTATCACATGCTGTGGACGTGTTTTATTAACCACAATGGCGTGTGTAACTGTTATTGTGTTTTTGGCGTTTTTAGTCCACATAGTAGGAGTCTTAACCCCGGGGTGGATGAGAACCGTTCAAGATGACAGTTCTACCGGGGAGTATAATAGTACCAATGCTGGTCTTTTTTATGTTATGAGATGCACAAACGAAGGGTGCATAACTAAAACTATATATGAAGATTCTCCTAGTCTTGCTTATCAGGGTATGTTTATTTTGAATAGATTTTACGAGAAAGCATTGAATCGGCATTGTCTTCAATGCTCTCTCTTCAATATAGAAAATGTTAATTTTAGAATCAGAGGTTTTGGCCTTATTTTTATGAGGCGCAGTTTTAGTATTTTAAAAGCATTTTTTTAAATAAAAAGAATACTGCTATAAAGAAATGAAATTTGTTATATCAGTATATAATTTTCTGTAATCACAAAATGATTCTTTTGACATCAGAAAATAGAGCTTTTGAATTCAAAAATGATTTTCTGTAATAGAAATACAGACTTTGGTGTCATCTAGAACATCCTGTTCTAGCTCACCTGAGCTGAAAGCTCAAGTGAGCATTTTGTCTGTTGTCCGTCCGTCTTTTTACATATTCGACTTCTCCAGAACTACTGGGCCAAAAACGTTTGACAGCTTCTATACATAGTGTAGATTCAAGTTTGTTCAAATGATGACCCACGGGGTAGGTGGGGACCACAATGGGGGATATAGAGTATAAAGAAAAAAATCTTTAAAATTTTTCTTCCCAAGAACAGCAAAGCCATGTATAGTTATATTGATATGGAAGCATCTTCAGGTAGTGTAGATTCATATTTGTTCAAATGGTGACCCGGCCCCAGGGGTTGGGTTGGGCCACAATGGAGGATAAAAGTTTTACATAGGAGTGCGTAGGAAAAAATCTTTAAAAATCTTCTTCTCAAGAACAGCAAAACCAGGATTAGTCATATTGATGTTGAAATATCCTCAGATAATGTAGATTCATATTTGTTCAAATGATGACCCCCGGGGTAGGGTGGGGCCACAATCAGGGATCAAAGTTTAACATAAGAATAATATGGAAAAAAAATCTTTAAAAATCTCCTGTTCAAAATCAGCAGAGTCATGATTAGTCATATTAATATTGAAGCATCCTCAGGTAGCGTAGATTCAAGTTTGTTTAAATCATTACCCCCGGGCATAGGGAGGAGCCACAATGGGGATAAAAATTTTACAAAGGAATATATAGGAAAAATCTTTTTAAAAATCTTTAAAAATCATCTTCTCTAGAAATACAAAGCCATTAGTTATATTGATATGGAAGCATCCTTAGTTAGTGTAAAATTCAGGTTTGCCCCCCATTCCATGCACCCCTAAGTAAACTTTTCAATACTGAACTGGTTTGTGCTTTTTCCTAGTCAATGTTCTCAGGCGAGCGATGTTGTCGATGGGCCTCTTTTTCTAACTAAAATCTGATAATTGAAATCGGATAAGAAATTATTTTCCTATATCACAGAATATAGATCTAACAAATACATGTTAATGGAGCCTCATATTGTTTTGCATTTTATCTGATAACGGATGTTTATTTGGGTGTATTCATCAAATCAAGGACAATTCGAACGGCACTGCTTGAAATATGTTTTTTTTTTTAAATTTCTGATTTCATTTCAACGATATATTATGTCATATTAACAAGTATATGGCTTTCAGTAAATGACATTCCACAATTGGAAACATGCTCAATTTGAGTAGAGGTAGAGAAAACTAACCTTCGTTTTGTGTGTGAATATTTGCATTTTTTTCATTGTGAATGTAAATTTTAAAATATACTAATAATTAAACAGACGGTGTTTGAAAAAAAAATATCTAAGATTTGACCACTTTTTATATATTACATCTTCTTCCCGAGAAGAATGGGTTAAATAGGATAATAAACAGAGTACTTTTCACTAAAATGTGTCTAAAATGATCTATTACGCAGATATTGTACAAAACATAAGATTGTGCCCCATAATTTGTGGGAAGAAATGGAAAAAATCTAGTTCACGTTAAATTTCAAAGACTAAAGAGAATGAAACATTTTCCAATTTAACGATTCCTTTTTTTCCTTTGAAAGGTGATGCTTTATACCCCAGAAAAGTGGCCAATGAATTCCACGCCAGTCTTGCTGTTCTGTTGAACCTTTTAGGATTGTTCTCCACACAATGTGCGGCTAGAAAAAACAAGGGAACAGCTAAGATGGCACTGATATCTATTGTACTACAGGCTTATTCGTGTATGTATTCTGTAGAATTTTCCTCTTAGATAAGTAGATAGATTTACAAATATAGTAACCTTCACTATATTTTCTTCGTTATTATTTCCTGTCAGTGTGAAACTTTGCTCCTCTTAAGATTTGTACCTGCAAAAACCATTACAGATGGAAAGTATGAAATAATGAATAAATGTAAAAAAAAATAGCATTTTTAAATTTTTAAAAAATATTAAAAACTTTGTTTGAAGAAAACAACTTGTTAACAGTTTTCCAAGGCAACTCTTAAAACTATTTAGCTGCTAGAATAGATGAAACAAATGGAGGAGACAGTTGATATGTTATTGATCTTTATCTCTATATTTGCGACACACAGCAGGAAACATGAAAATTGTTATCTTACTTAAATATTTTCTACATTTTTTCTATGCCGTATGCACACATTATCCCTTATACCAGGTGGATTCTGATTTGAAAAATTCTCGGAGCGAAAAATGCACACAAACAATTTGAATCTATAAGAAATATTCAACAGCATTTGAATAAATTTTGCTTTCAAAAGAATCTCAGTGTGTTGTTCTAAGGATGGCGCCACTGTTGTTTCACTTCTTATTAATCATTTTCCTTAGAGAGTTCTTAAATTTGAACACATGTACCGGTATCTCAAAAATGAATGCTTTATATGAAGCGTAAATGAAATTCTTTTTCTTTCTGAAGGAGTTGAAAATGTAAAAAGTAAACGTTGCTTCCCTATTTGAACCATCCTTAGACCCAAGTTATGACTAACTCGGATGCTTAAAATTTGATAATTAATGTTGCTGTTGCTTAAAATATATATATTTCTACATATTTTTATATGAGTAAGTTTCATCGCTATCATGGACCTTTTTGAGTCTTGTTCTACACTTTTATGCTTTTTTTTAAGGAAATTTCCAGTGTTAATCTTTAGATCTTTAGTTACTGCAACATTACTGTCCACTAGGCAAGACATCTGAACAAAAGGGAGAGAAAATTTGTGACACATTTAACAAACAGTTATCAATCTCATAAACCCAGCTAGTAAAGAATACGACTCGAACAGGGCAAAAATATGTAAATGTAATAATATTAACTTAGCAAGTCATAAGGGCTTGAATCTTTGCTTCAAGCCATTCGAACAGCGAAATACTGCTATGAGTTTAATTTACATGTATTAGTCTCTCGAGTCACCCAGGTATCCTGTGTCTGTCCGATCACATCCGCAGTCATGCTTGCAACATTAGCTTTTTGTTTGTTTATTACTCTCAAACCATACAATGCTACATGAGGTACATGAACACATTTACATATATACAGAATATCAGGTCAAGTAAGGAAGAGTAGTATACACTAGACAACATTGCTAACGCACCACCTAAATAAATTAACATTTTTCTTTTCAAAACTTGTTTATGATTTTTTTTTAAATATATAAGTATGTTACTTTAATAAAAAATGAGACATTTAAATATTTCAACTGGTAAATAATAACAATGTTTACTGAAGCGTAACCACTTCATAGAAAAAATTAAAAATCATATCCATACTTTTTTGGTGGAATAAATTTCTAATTTTTTCTTTGTGGTGTGTTCTTTATGTTTAAACTAATTAAAAACTCAGGAAAAAAGTTACATCGTATGCAGCTTTTGACTCTAGAAGAGCGTGCTAAGGCAGCCAGTATGGTGTCTGCAGGGGGTTCCTTTGAAGAAATTTGTGAAAAATTAAAACAATTCAAAGATTATGCATTTCTCTGGTGAAAAATTGTTGCAAATGAATTAACGATCATAAAAATGTTTACAATAGATATCGACGGCATTAAGTAAGCACGACACAATAATATCAAGATTGTTCCACAAAATTAGGGGAACCGGAAGTTGGGTGGATTTGGTAGGGACACCAAGGCACTGGATGGCTACTAAGCGATATGGTAGTCAATCAGGGTATATCATTTGTTTGTAAAGTGGGAGACTGCTCCCGTCGCAACGTCACGGACCACCATCGGTAATCACGAACTTCATATCATGGCAAAAACGTGCGCAGTGCACGTCGGGAAATTGGTTTTCGGACAAGGAGGTCCTGTAAGGGTCTTGACATGATAACAAGACATTTGTCAATCCAACTGTTTTGGAAAAGATGGCATATTTTATATACTAGTACCAATCAGGAAAATGATCAATTCCCAGATAAGAATAATAAGTGGTGCGTTAGCAATTTTGTCTAGTGTATATATAAAAAAGAAGATCATTACTGAAAACATGCCAATATCTTTTTAACAAACAAAGACAGCTTTATCAATGAGTCTACATCTGTGGTGGACATAAGGTTTTCAAATTTATAAGTATTTACATTAGAAAAATATTATCAATAAGTTTCATACGTAATGATGAAAAAGGTACACTCCATTACATGATAGAATTCGTCACCTAGAGTGCTTTTATTACATGAATTACATACTCTTAAAGATCTATCAGTATCAGTCCATCTACCAACTTCGATTGGAAGTCTGTGGTTACAGTGTGTTAATATAATTCATAAATCTTTTGGGAGTTTCTTAGGTACATTTCTCGCCCAAAACTGTTCTTAAAAGTCCTATAATTTAAACATTTAGATGAATTTTCTATGTTCATAAACCATTCTTGTGTAAATTGACTTAACAATGTTTCTTTCACAACAGTTTTTAACCATGTTGTACTTAAGAAATTTTGATTCATCCACACATACGACAGACCTCATGGATTCAAAATATCTCATACATTTCAACCATGGGTGCATAAATAAACCTTCAGAAAAGCATTTATATAGAAAGCAGTACATTATGTATGATAACGTATGCTTATGAGACGTATGACGTATTTGCTAATATATGGGTTTCAGGGAGTAACATTCCACAAATAAAGCATGTTGAGTATGAGGAGAGAGGGACTGAAAAGTAACCTCCGTTTCTGTGTGTGATAACTTGCAATTAAATTGTGACTTAGGCCGGAAGGGGTGGATGGGTGGGGGGTACATGTATATATGAAAATACATAATTATATCTTTTACAATCTTCATTACCCCTTCAACTCTGTGAAACAAACCTGAGGCATTATTCTTAACAGCAATGTGTCCTGTATTAAAATCCTGAAATTAAAGTCTGTTGGGTATGTGTTTTATTTGAACTTTTATCGTATATTCAATAAGTCTTGAAAAGAAATTTCTTCTGAAAAACATATCAATTTTTTTTGCACGCTGGTTATGGGATAGAACAATCGTCAAATAACTTAAAATTTATATTAAATCATTTATTGTTTTTGCAAAATATTGTTATTTGTTACCTGATCAAATGGAAGCTGATACTTGAGTGACTGGATCGACTAATAAACTCATAGCTAAAAATTAATAATATTAAATCATTTATTGTTTTTAAGAACTGACAAAGAATACTGGAGAGTGCAGTCTTATTTCATTTAATAATAATATGTCCGTGTTTGCTCTGCTACTATTTTGTATTGTTTAATGGACTTATGAGCTTGAATACTGTTCGTTATCTCCATATATTTCATATTTTCAGTTTTTGTAACATTCGGTTTTATTGTGGACTACATTGTGATATACATCCTAGCGAAGAGACACGAGTCTGGATATACGTTCGCCACATGCAGAACACAGACGCCATATTCCTTGATCATTACGGGAGTGGCCTTATTTATGCAAGCCTCTGTCATTACATACTTTCTTGCAAAGTTACGCCGTTTGCTGGATGAGATGTTATTGAACAACGAAGCTCCACCTCCGTATCATCTTTTGAGAAATGATGGGGGTGGCCATCAACATAACTATGGGACTTCTAACGAAACCCAACACCCGGCTCCTAATGCTCCTACAGATTATCCTAGGAACAACAATCCGTTTGAAGACAATTCCAATCAGCGATTTAGTAACGAAAGCAATGCCTGATTCTTTCTATATATTATAGCACTGAATTTGAATTCAATAAGAATACTTCTTCCATCTGACCGGATATCATTACATCTTATTACATAAGATGTTATTTCTCTTTGATTCTTCCGAAAGACATTTACTCTAACAAAAGTAAATACTTTGATACATTGATTAACTATGAAACTTTACTCGAGAACTTTAAGATTTAGGGAAAGAGTTGCTCACCAATGATATAAAATAAAATAAAATACAACAGTGAGTGATGGGGTAATCATAATTACTAATCGTAATCAGCTGTAATCGATTACAATTTGCTGTGTAATCATGATTATCAGTAACCAATTCTCTGATTACAAGTAATTGTAACATAATCGATTACCCTGAAAAGTCTTGTAATCATGATTACATTTTGATTACTTTATCATTACAATGGTAAAAAAGAAGTGCATAAAATCATATTCATTGATGATGTTCATGAATATTGTTCAGTCTGCAATTTTGTTTATGCGCAAAAATTATTATATTTATAAGCTATATATATAGCTTTATCTTCTATTCTTGCCTTTAGGTATATTTATTATCAAGTCCATTGACCATACTTTGAGTGAATCCTCTCAGCTACTAGTTATATTAAATGGTCATTTTCAAAATGCTTTTAGCAGCTTAGCAATTTGCCTAGTGTGACTAAGACACACATACTGAGGAAAATGAATAAAGGTTAATTTCAAAGTTTGACTTTCTGTTTCAACATGTATGTAACACTGTTTTCCCTATAAATCTTTAACTATACAACTGATTTTTTAAGTATGTACCTTAGTGATGTCATTATTTCTAAAGTCATTACTTAGTTTGCTTCACAAAAAAAAAGTTGAATTAACAGTAAAATACAGGTGTACTTTAGTTTGGTCAGCTTGGGTATGATACCAATGAACTATCGCTATTTGCCTAGTCAAATTGTTTGTTCTAGTAAAAATATCTAGAACAATAGGTAGTTTCATTAAAACGTTAATCACTAATATTAACATGGTCAATTAAATATATAACAGTTCTTTGTTGAATCCTTATATCTCTAATGTAATTGTAAGGTCTAATTTGATGGGATGATTTAGTGGTATATTTGTTTTGTTTTTTTCAACAGAAACAGAAATATGCACTTATATATGAGACAGAAATCAAATGATCAGATAAACCATCTATGGACATGTAACCAAACTTTTTTTTCCCAAAATCTAAAATGTGAATGATATTAAATGCAATTAAAAAGTGTGCAAAATGAACATTGATTTTAAAATACATGTATAAAAAACTGTTAAAAAATCTGTTTCTTTCCCGAACATTAAACAAAAATTCATAAGAAAAAAAGCTTTTTAAAACAGAATGTAATCTAGAGTAATCACAAGTAATCAGATGTAATGAAATATAGAGATAACGAATAGCACTCAAGCTCATAGTCCATCCAATGAAATATATGAAGATAACGAACAGTATTCAAGCTCAAAAGTCCATTATACAATACAAAATAGGAGCAGAGCAAACACGGACCTCCAAACATCAGAGGTGGGATCAGGTGCCATGGAGGAGTGAGCATCCCCTGCCGACCGGTGTCGCATAATATTTGGTCCGCCTCGTTTAAAGGTCCGGGGGGACCTAATACGATATCATATAAGGTCCGGCCTGCGCCTATAAGAAAAGGTCCGCCTTCAGTACATTTGATTGTTTAGTGTCTTTTTTACCCGAATATGTTTAATAAATGATATAGAATTTGATTTATTTTTTTATTTATTCATTCAACTGTCTTTCCTTGTCTACGAAACAAAAAGTAAGGCTAGCTGAATAAACGAAAATGAAAATGAAAGTACTTGGGAGGTGGATGATTGTCCGAAGATGTCGGAAACTATTTGATTTTACAAATTTCTTTTGTGAAAGATACATATGCAGTACTCAGTACTAGAGTGCTTGAAGTTTGGGACATTATGGCTATGAATGGGTTGCTGAGCGAAATTATAAAAAAAAAACTTTGTAAACAAAAAGAATGAAAAATGGTTGCCGAAATCTTACCGACTACCAAGCATACAGCGTGCTGCATACTTTCCAGTAAAGGTAAGTTATTAAATATTTTTATCTTAATATGACCATAGCAATAGTTTTACAGAATAGTTTTAACAGTTATATATATTTATATTGAAATTGACGAATGAATTGTTCGCCGTATCTGAAAACGAGCCGCTTCGGGTAACCCTGTAACCTGTTCCTACAGCTGAACTGGGCTCATGTAATAACACCAACTTTGGACAAAAATCATGATTACTGTCAAAACAGTTCTCTTATAATCTTTTCCAGCTGATTTAAATTACTTTACAGTTTAATTATGTATAAATTATTGTAAATCTATTTACTACCTAAATGCACCTAGCCTTTAAAAATATTCACATAGATCATATAACCAGACATGAACTCTTTGGAGTCCTCTTAAATTTTACCTTTCTTTGATTATCAAAGGACAATTAACTATTATGTACATATGTTAGACTTTTGCTTGGCTTTTGTTTTTAATTGCATACTCTCAACAAAGTCAAATGTAATTGGTAATTTCAGTCCTAATTTTCGTTTACCTTTCAAAAATTGAGTATGTTTCAAAGTTTTTCAAACACTGTTGAATCTAAATGTTTTTTTTTTGTTTTTTCTTAGGGATAATTTTACTTTTACATCACATACTACAAGCTTCTGTTTTACCTAACATTATTCATATATTATTGATAAAGACACATCTCCCAAAGAAAAATCACCAGCTCAAAAGGAGATATTCCACAGATTAAGACCCTCCCCCCTGATTTAGAACCCTCCACGAAATGAATTGTATAATAGAAATTATCAATTTTTTCGTTGATCATACATTATATAGTTCTTAATTCATTTTCCCCTTTTTGAGTTATTTTTCTTACCAAGATAAACTTATATACTTGCACATTTGTATATCACATTTGAAAAATTTGCATACACTGGCTTTAAAGAGAAAAGTAGAGGGTCACAGTGACTGGATGACCAGGTAATGACAGGTAGACTGTACACTATATCACCTACCAAAAATCCCAAAACCCAGTGTTGTTAAAACAACATTTATGTGAATTGGGGGTAGACTTGACTTTGTTGACAGGCTTGTAGCTCCCAGTATCCTTTGTGTTTTCATAACAATTGCAAATTGTTGGTAAACATTATATTTTTTGATCCAATTAAAATTTAATTATTTATCACATGACTTTCAAGGGTAGAAAACAGTTGTCTCAGTTGGTTTCTTAAGATTACTGCAAAAACCCTCTAGGTATCATGGAGGCTCTCTACAATGTTAGAGATTACCTCTCTACCAAAAAATACCCAGCATCATCTTCCAGCAACCAGAAACGCATCATCAGAAAGCAAAGTTTAGGCTATGAGTTGAAAGATGATCAACTTTATAAAGTGAAGACAACTAGACAAGGGTAATATATATATTGCATTTTTTATGATATTCCTTAAGATTGCTCATGATTAAGCTCAAAATACCTGTACACTCCCTAATTATCTTAGATTTTAGTCACTTAATTGTGTCAATTAAAGTTCATATTTTCATCAGTTCTTTGCTAGGTAAAGGGGACTATAATTTAAAACATGTAAAAGGTAAATTTTTATTAAGTATTTTATTATTTATTATAAATAAGGAAGGCCATGATTATTGATTATTTTAAAATAGAGAAGCACCCTCAGATAGTACAGTTTCAAGTTTGTTTGAATCATGACCCCCAAGAGTAAAGGATGGGCCCACATACAGTTTACATGGAAATACAAGTAATTATGTAGAGGAAGAAAAATTTTCTTCTTGTCCCCCTGGTGTTAGGAATGGGCTACAACAAATTTACGATCAAAGTTTTACATGGGAGTTAATATATAGGAAAAAAAATTTTCAAAGCTTCTTGAAAAGAAGAGCAGGGAAAATTAGTCATGCAAGTTTGCATCCACATATGAGATAGATTCAAGTTTGTTTAAAATATATAGTCCAGTTGGGGAGGGGATCACAATAAGATAACAAAGTTTTAGAGGAAAGAAAATCTTTTCAAAGCTTTTTATAAAGAAGAGGAGGGTCATGATAAATGATAGTAATATATGCAAATATTGCAAGCCAACATTCAAGGTCATTTAATTTCAAGCGAAGTTTCTTAAGATCATGGTTCCCAGGTTCATGTGGGACCACCAGAAAAGATCAAAGTTTTAGTTGAGATTATATAGGAAACATTATTTTAAAAAAAATTTCTCAATATGCGAGCACCCCCAGGTAGTGTATAATCAAATTTCTTCAAATCATGGATCCAATGGGCACTAGGTTGAATCTACAGTATATATGATCAAAGTTTTATTGAGAATTTGTAGGAAATATCTTAAAATTGCAATCTCTTCTCATGATCCAAGGCAAAGAAATTGTTAATAATAAGCGTCATTCGCATCGCATGGCATGTAATGTAAATTCAAGTTTGTTCAAATCATGACCCCAGATAGGAAAATATTTTATAAAAAAATTTTCCTTCTATATTATGACAGGGTCGATTGATATGTCATATTAATGAGCATATTTGTACCAAACAGTTTAGATTTAAAGTGCTTAAGTCAAGATTTGGGCCAAGAGGAGCCCGAGGGTTAATTAGGCTGCAATAGGGTATCAAAGTTGCATTCACAAGAGAAAAATAGAAAAAAAAAGATACAGAAAGATATAGAGAAGCAATACAATAACTAGTGTGCTATGTAAATCTTTCATCAGAGTTAAACATTGGCATTTTTCACATTGTTCATAAATGAATCTTGTAGGTTTAATTAGTTATATTATTGACTAGTTTATTTGTATATGATTATGTTTATAGCTCACCTGAGCAGAAGGCTCAAGTGAGGTTTTCTGATCAAAGGGTGTCCGTCTGTCGTCTGTCATCTGTCTTCTGTAAACTTTTCACATTTTCGACTTCTTCTCAAAAAACCACCAGGCCAATTTCATCCAAACTTGCCACAAAGCATCCTTGGGTAAAGAGGATTCAAATTTGTTCACAGGAAGTGCCATGCCCTCTTTCAAGGGGAGATAATAAAGAATTCATGAAAGTTGCATCTTTTAAAAATCTTCTTCTCAAGAACCACTGGGCAAGAAAAGATGAAACTTATGTGAAAGCTTCAATACATACTCTAAATTTAAGTTTGTTCATATCATATTCTGCCAGGGGTAGGACGGGGCCACAAGAGGGGCTCGAAGTTGGCTTTAAATAGAAAAAAAGAACAAATTAATTAAAGCTTGAAATTGAATTTTTTTCATGCCACAGTTTTCATTTCATGTGCATCTCAATGTGATTCAGTGTTCTTAGTTTACTTAGGATTATAAAGGAAGATTATTTTGTCTCAAGAACAGCCAAGCCATTATAAGTCTTATTTATACAAAAGTATATTCGGGTAGTG